ATATATATATATATATATATATATATATATATATATAGATATAGCAAAAGATATATATATATATCTAGTCAGTGACAGAGTGCAAGCATTCTTTTAAAATAATTCTGTATTTTCAGCTTCAGAATCATGAATGTTTTTATTATGGTGTCACCATTTTCTTAGGGATTATATATATATATATATATATATATATATATATGAAGAGTTCAGATGCAAAAGCCTCTAAATGCCATTGTATAATAACAATTAATAGATATTTATCATTTCCATTTAAGTGAAATTACTGAACTTAAATATACAAGTTTGTTAAAAAATCATCATTAAAGAAGAAAATTTCAAATGGCATTTAGAGGCTTTTGCATCTGAACTCTTCATATATATATATATATATATATATATATATATATATATATGTCCCCCAATTGCATTATTATACATTATATTCAACATATATGGCAGTTTAATGTAGTAATGTCACTACAACTCTGAAAACTTGAATTTTTTTGGGTGAACTATGCACAATACATATTGTTACTATTAATGAAATATATTGTTGCATTTTTGTATTGTGATATATTGTGACATGATATATTGTTACACCCCTGATGGTTTATAACAATTGCTGCTATGCAGTTACTAGTGCATTGCTATGTGAATTCTATGCAATTGCCATGACATTATAGATGTTTTCTGAAAATTTGCTATGCAGTTACTAGGGTGTTGCTGTGTGGTTGTGAGGGGGTGCTAAGCGGTTATTAGAGCATTGTTATGTGGCTGTAATGCAGATTCTATGGCATGTATAGTAATTATGGTTTCTAAGGATTGTTCTGGAGTTTCTAGGGCGTTGATATGTAGTTGCTGGGGGTTGCTGCAGTTACAAGAGTCAGTTCTATTGTGTTTTAGCAAATGTTACTCTTCTTCTTTCATATGTGAAACAAGGACAGACTTTGCTTTCATTCTAAAGACACTGATTGCAGTTGTCCTGCTGTTACTTTAATCTAATTCAGCACATATTACTCAACACCCCCAAGGAGCTCCTTTTCCCTTCACTAAACCTGTTTCTCTCACATGCCACATACACACATAAACACAGACTTCAGCATGATCTCCAGTGAAACACTTATGAGTCACTTGTTAAGCTCCAACTAGGTTTTTAGAATATGTGCATGCATTATTGTCGGATTTACTAAAAATGTAGAGACACATATATTATGCAAGTCTTGGCATGTTGAATCAAGTTAAGTTGACACAATCACTGCTGTGGCCTGACAGGAAGGATCACAGAGCAAAGAAGGAAAAATGCACTTACTCTTGTACAGAAACACACGGTTGAGCACGATAGAGCATGCTTACTGCATGTTACTAATTACAGTTTTTAGTAAATGCTGTTTTAATATGTTACAAACTAGCCCTTACAAGGACGGATACGAAGCAATCAGATTTCTGTCTGTTTTGCTCACCAAGGCTTCATTTATTTGATCAAAAATAGAGTAAAAACACTATGATTTTGAAATATTATTATTATTTAAGTGACATGTATGTATGTCAATGTAATTAAACTGTCCTGATTACTGCCCCGAAAAACTTAAGAATTTAATTTAGTTTATTTTATGTATTCAATTATGAATGTTTTGCTTTACCCCTACCCACCCCTCAAAAAATATACATTAAAAATGAACCCCTCTAATGCCACTGAGAGCTACTGAAGATTTGTAACACTCAATGCAACCAATTTCAGCACCACGAATAATGCTTCAGCACCATGGACAGCTCACACACTTCCCACAATTGTACTATGCAGAGTGGCCGGAGAACTCTAAAGCATCTTACATTTTACTGTCTTGCCGTGGAAAACAGCCCAGAGAGATGCCCAAAATAGTCTGGCATAATGCCCAGTTGTCCATCAAATAAGCCTGGACTGATGTTAGACAGATGTGCATTGTGGGAGAATCAAGAGGAAGAAAGTGAGAGTACTAATTTTACCATCCAGATACATGATAAACAAACATCCACCCCAGAATAAACTCTGACCTTTGTGCCAAGAGATGCTGTAATTCCAGCGATCACACTTACACTGTAATAGCTGATGTCTTTACAGCTATGTGAGAATTGAAGATGCACATTGAATCACATGTTTGGATGCATGATGATTAGGGTTGGGTATCGTTTGAATTTGAACGATTCTGATTCCGATTCCTTGTTTCGATTCCGGTTCCTAACGATTCTCGATTCCGATTCTTTTAAGAGGCAGGGTCAAAAAAGTTTAGCTAACCTTGCTAACCAACGGCCTTTCTGAAGGAAATACTCCTTCTGTAAAAATACTCCTTTTGTCACAAATTTTGCATTTTGCCGAGATTTCGTTATTTTTAGAAAAGTGAAGCCACACTTTGGACCGCTGACGTAAGCTACTCATGTTCGACTCGCGTGGTTATGCCAACACTTCCGGTAGACGCTTCTTCGTTGGTGTTGTTCAGCGGTTTCTTCTTCCGCTCGGCGGACTGTGAATATCGAAACTAGGAATCGAAATTTTTACTTTTGAACGATTCCGGGAAAAACGAAAAGTTAGTCCCGGTTCCAATCGATACTCGATTCTCGATACCCAACCCTAATGATGATTCCTTTGGATTTGGACTACATACATTCATAATATAGCAGCGCAGTTGTCAGTCCTGTTTGGAATGATACATGGGATTTTTCTGTTAGTTCAATACTTTTTAATGTTTTTAAAAAAGTTGAAATGACCATTTATGCATTTAGTCGACACTTTTATCCAAAGCGACTTACATACATTCAAGATTTATGAGTATTTTATGAGTTCAAGCATTTCTTGGTGTTACGTCCCCTGATGGCATAGAGGTATGAGGAAGACGTACATAATCAAATTGAAACACACTCCTATAGTTTTAGTCTCTCTGGGTGAATGACGCTAAGACAACAAATTACTATAATTTACATAAATGAAAACAAACAAACAAACAAACAAACTTAATTACAGCTATATACACACACAGAGATGATCCCTTATAATGAAATGAGCCACAGAGAGAAAGAAGATGAGTGGTGCTAAACAAACAAAATAACAAAACCAAAGCACACACACTAACTAATTCCCACTCTCTGAGCGGACTGAAAACAAAAAATCTTCAGCGCTCAACATGCCATAACTAAAACTTCACTAACTAACCAAACAAAAAACTGCACAGTTGCACTTTCCCCTTCCCTAGTGTGTCTAACGATGGTAACTCTACGTGCATGTACAAGTAAGATGTGTCCTGTGACGTACTTTCCTTTTCTCTTCTCTCCGGGCTGGTGCTGGTTTTAGATCAGGCAAGAAGTCCTCTGAGTAAACAAACAATCAAATAATCACGCAAGCTAACCACCACAAAGTCAGTACTTTTTAACAAGAGTAGCACAAGCCAACAAACACTCCAAACTCCCCCTTTCACGTTCTCCAGTGTGCCTTATATCCTGAACCACAGCCCATGATTGGTGGTCTCCGACCAATAGCAGCACCAACAAACTGGTTTGAATGAATATGCAGTTGACAACATGAAGTGCATGTTTCTCAGGTTATTTGCTGTTATTGTTGTAATATAGCTGTCAATCTCTCTGAGGTTATGAGACATGGCAGAAATGCGGTCGTAGAGCAAGACAAAACCCCTGTTAAGTGTTTGAGGAGGAATAGAGTGGCTAACAAAAATGTCAAGGGAAAAAAATGAAACACTTACTTTCGTAGTACACATTATTATGCACAATTCATTAATCGTTTTTATGACCTTAGATTGGGAGCCTTTTGGAGTAAATGCACTTTGGCCTTGAGAACAGTCTATTATAATTTTTCTCTTTTTCTTTGTTTTTGCAATCCTTCATCAACATTCAGTTGTTCCACCTTTCAAATTACCTCAACCAAATAGCTTTTTAAGCAACATTTTAGTAACCTTGAATTCAGGTCTGACTCCTTCCTTGTATGTGATGGCCGTTTGGTTTGTTTGTTTATTTATTTATATTTTTATTTGTAAAACATCCTGTTCCACTTGGCTGCCATGCCATTTTGATTAATAGGCTATAGGTTTTTTCTCTGGTACATCTACAGTAATGACACAGTTTTGTTTCCAAAACTTTTTTTGGATTAAAATAAGTAAACTAAATTAATAAAAAATATATAAACTAAATTATAAGTAACTAAATTAATAAAAAAAAAATATATATAAAGAATTAATTTTCAGGATTCTTGATTATTTCAAATGTTTTTCAAGGATCACACTCTTATTAACCACTGAATTTACGTTCACTTTTCGAGTTGTTCATGATTTACGGTATAAGGATTATACCGTAAAAACAAAAAGGAAAAATATTTTTTCTTACAGTTTCTACCTAATAAAATATTTTAGATCATGGCAAAATAAATAAATACATTGAAATATTTAGATTGTCAGTTGTTTTAGTTTATTTTGAAGCTTGTTGTCTTATTTTAAATAATGTTAAGACATCTTGAGGCCCCCCTTGTAAGAACCACTGAGTTAGAGAATTTGATGATTGGTTACCAGTAATCTATAGTATTAGACTAGTCTACTTTCTACACATGTTAGAAAATGCTGTTGTCCTAGATCTCATTAATGGACTGTTTGAGTGCAGCTTTGGTTAATGGTTTGGCTGATATTGTTGCAGAACTCAGGATTTGCATAATTAATGAAGACATTAATGAGCTCAAAGGGCAGGAAACACAACATACGAATGTGTTGAGTAGAAATGATTTTGATCAGAGACCTGAGTTCAGTCTCCTTTTCTCTCTCTCTCTCTCTCTCTCTCTGTGTGTGTGTGTGTGTCTTCGCACCACCTAATAAAAAGTCTTATGAAGCAAAAACACTTAACCAGAGTGCCGAGTACTCAGATTCAGTACATCAGTTAACCGGACTAAATTATTCAAACTTTAAAACACGTGGAAGATGGAGAAATTGTGTCATTATCTGCAATAAACTTCTGCTTCTCTTTCTTTCTAGGCTAAGAAGCAGGATCTGCCGCGTGAGGAACAGGGTCCGTCCATCAAGAACCTGGACTTCTGGCCCAAACTGATCACGCTGATGGTGTCTGTTATAGATGAGGACAGAATGGCCTACACACCCATCATTAACCAGTACGTATCACAACACACACATTGTGAAGCCATCTGATTGTATCATATTTTGCTGATTTTTCCCAAACATGAAAGAAAACAATATCTTTGTTATCTCAGTTGTTACTTCTAGACAGCAATGAAATTTATAAAGATAATTTCAATAAAGAGCTCAGAAATATCTCAATTTGTGCTCAGCATTTTCAAGACACTTTTGCAAACAAAAGTATGAATTCAACCATTTTTCATTAATTTCTTTAAAAGTCAAATGATCTGACGGAATGAATTCATGCCGATTGATGAATCCGACCGTATTGTTTACATGAAAGTATAATTAAAGCGATCGGGTTGATGTGCACGTTTTTATGTCACAAGCTTCTAATCAGATTTGATATTGTAGACATACTTATACTGCAGGAATAGCATTTCCTGCTGTTTGCATATACTATTCTCCTACATTGCTTCTTTTCTTTTTTAAAGAGTAGAATTAATATTTATATAATTAATATTTTAGGTCTTCATTATGATGACGAGCACACAAACCACTGTGCCGTGTTGTTATTTTTGTCAAGCAGTAAAAACGACGGTGGGCCCAACACAACGAAAGTGCACAACACAACAAAATTGTGGAACATAGCACATACTGTATATGGCAGTAAAATAATGGCAAATGTTTTTGAAACAAAAAAGCCTGTTGAATTGTACTACTTGGAAAAAAAATATGCATTGCATTAACCCATCTTGTGTTTTAATGCACTGTATTTTTAGGGCTTACATTTTTATGGGCTAAAATTTAAAATGGTTGAATATTTAAGTTGTGAATAATTAAATTCAAAACATCTCAAACACAATTCCATTAGTACAAATGTAATCCATATTCACCTTTCATAAAACATAATAAGAGCAAGGGTTCAACAATGATAATTACAACTGTCTCAATACAGAGCAACTATCCACACAATCTTTATTATTATTATTATTATTATTATTATTATTATTATTGTAACAGACTAGATTGGACATGACAGAATCCAACAGAGTCTGTTACTATAATACCGGTAATGATGCACTGGCGCTCGTTTTATGTGTTTGTATGCAATGTATTTTGCCGTAGATAGGAATGGTTCAATTGCTGCACAAAACATACCATAAATAATCATGCAAACATACTTTTATCTTGCTCTTTTTTTCTCATCCTCTGTCATTTTCTTCGTTTTATGTTCGGCACCAGAGGGACACGTCCTTTTTTTGTGACATGGCTTAACATTACCGCGAGTCCACGACTATGCGCAGTTGCTCACGAATTGTCTACGCGCGCACGAGGTGTCTAGATTATGTGCGTGACTTAAACGCTGGCAGACACAACAGCAGTTGTAGGGAGGTATATTGATCATGAAATCAGAATTGTCTTTAATTATTCATTCATTCATAGTAATTCATTCTTTTATATCAGTTGTTTAATTCATCTAAAAACACTTTTTTACATTTTTCGACTCGATTGGGGGGCCCCCTGGTGGCCAAGGGGCCCCAAGCAGCCACTTAGTTCGCTTGTGCCTCGGGCCAGCCCTGTGTATTAGTCCATTAAAGGTATTGTAGTTAAGAATTTTATATAAAAAAAAAAAAATTCCAAATTTGTTTAAACTTTCTATATATATATCAATTAAAATGTAAGTACTCTGATAAAAAGTGTATAAAAATCGAGTGACTCTAGACCATTTAATCTGCACTAAACACAGCTCATTATTTCCAACCGGGACGAAACAAAGAATTGGCTTAGGCGACTGTCACTCTCTCGCACCCATGGCAACCACCCTTTTTGCCACACAGGACCTGCCCACTTGCACGTATCCAGATCATACCTGTTCACGCGCCCTTGTTTGAGCTTGAAGATGCAAAACTCAATGCAGGTCCTCTTGTCCAAGAAGTGCTTCTTGCCCTGCACTTCGACCACCCCGTCCTCGGCCTCTACTTCCTCGAACCCTAGTTGCACAGCCTCTTGCACGACCTCCTCTGCTTCGCCCTCCACCACGGATCTGTCCTCGAGCTGACGATGTGGTAACATGACATCATGACTTTTGCGTAAACATACACGCCACTTTCAAGTCAAGTGGCGTGTTATTTATGTCTATGCCATTAATGTCCGAGTGATTCCACTTGTATGTACACACCGTTAAATGTCTGAGCGAAATGAAGCAAAATGTAGATCTACATCTGGGGAACGATATTTTTTTCCTAGGATTGTAGGGGAAGACTCATAAATGCTATTAAAGATTTTTTTATTACATGTGATTCTGACATGACGTGACTACATGTACTGCGCTCCTTCCTCTCCGCTCGTCTGAGGTAAATAACGCGTCTTCAGCTCAGCAGTCGTGCGTTCATGTGTTTTGGGGGCGTGGCTTTGGAAGGAGCCCAGAAGGGAGGGGGTGGAGAGAATGGAAATAATGAGCTGTCTTTAAAACAGTCGTGAGAGGTCTACTGACACTCGATTTTTATACTTTCTTTTTCAGAGTACTTACATTTTAATTATGCATTGATATATACAGAAAGTTTAAACAAATTTGTTAAATAAGTTTTTTATACAATTTCTACCTACAATACCTTTAAGCTACATTAACTGCTTTGTCCCAACGGAAGGGGAGTCCCTGAGTATGATGAGGTATTGAGGGAAACCGATTATATTCATGGTAGAAAAAGCTGATAACATGTAAGGCTACACAGGGAAGTTACGGTTAGTTCACCCAAAAATGAAAACTATGTCATTAATGACTCACCCTCATGTCGTTCCAAGCCCGTAAGACCTCCATTCATCTTCGGAACACAGTTTAAGATATTTTAGATTTAGTCCGAGTGCTTTCTGTTCCTCCATTGAAAATGTATGTACCTTATACTGGCCTTGTCCATAAAGGCAATACAGACATCATCAAAGTAGTCCATGTGACATCAGTAGGTTAAGGCCATTGCACACCGAGTTCGAAATTCGCATCCGAAATTTTCGCAAAAAAAATTCGACCTCACGTTATGTCGCCTCGGAAACTTTCGTCCGTCATAAAATTAATCGGATCGGGTTCGATTTTCTGCGTTTTTCGCATCCAGAGCCAGCATTTTGAGAGGTCTTTTGACAATTCAGGGCCGGGGGGAGCTCGTCCTCAAATCATTGCACATATGCGCCGTGCTTTCAGTTTCGGTTTTCAATTCGATCAAGTGTTTATGTTCTCTTCTCTATATTGGATTATGAAATTAATAAACCTCCCCTTTCAATCAGATTGAAATTTAGGATCGAATAAGGTGTGATTGAGCAGCCTATTCGATAACTAATGTATTATTTGGGCACAATATACACAATAACAGCCTAGCTGTTCTGTCTGCCCAGCGCTTCCAACGGGCCGTGCGCGGGTGTGTGTTTGTCCGTTTGTGTGTCCATACCTGGTCCATACCAGCCACACTGCCAGTCTCCGTTCAGAATTGATTGGTTCACGGAAATTGGTGGTCTTGTTTTTAATATGTGGCTTCAGAATCGCTAGCAAAGCATCTAACTGTCCCACTGACATTCTGAGGTAAATTTTGAATCGCTCAGGATAAATTCGCAACTCCTTGATAAGGAACTCTCCTTCCTCTCGGCGCAATTTCAGGATTGGATGGACGTAATATTTTCTTTTTCTTCCCTTTTCAATAAGAGAGGGCAACAATCATCCTCACTGCTTGACGAATCCATTTGGTATTTTTGCGTTTTTTCCCGCAAAGGTTTAAGAAATACGCAACGGACTCGGTGTGCAAGGTTTCTATGCGTGACGAATTTTTAAGCTGACGAACACGAAAATACGCATACGAATATTTCGTGCTCAGTGTGCAATGGCCTTTAGTTCGAATTTTTTTAAGCTTCGTAAATACTTTTTGGTCCAAACATAGCAAAAACAACGTCAACAACATCTTGTGCGCCCGAGCTTCGTTTACACTCCGATGGAGACGCACGCTGTATTCAAGCTTTTCTACATTGTTTGTATTTTGGTATTGCAATATTTTTTAAAAATGGTTCGTGCATGTCACGGATGTCCTAATCGTCCTACTCTGGCGCACAAGATAACACGTCAGCAGCGTCATTGGAATCGTGAATGAGCAATGACAACAGAACCGGAAGAAAATACAATGCTGAATAAAGTAGTTGTTTTTGCTATGTTTGGACCAAAAAGTATTTTCAATGCCTCACATTCACCCCTTCACACACACATTCATACACCGACGGCGGTGTCAGCCATGCAAGGCGCCAGCCAGCTCGTCGGGAGCAGCTGGGGTTAGGTGTCTTGCTCATGGACACCTCGACACTTGGTCAGGTGGAACCGAGGATTGAACCACCAACCTTTCGGTTTGTAGACAACCCACATGAACCACTGAGCCACTGCCGCCCATGTGTGTCCCGCCCATGTGTGTCCCGTGTTTCCCCCTGCTTAGTGTTTTTGGTTCAGTCCTGTGTCCTAGTTTACCTGCTCCTCGTTTGTGTCCAGTCCCTTTACCTGTGTCTAGTTACTTTGTCCCAGCTGTGCCTTATTCTACTAGTCTGTTCTCTGTGTATTTAAACCCTGTGTTCTCCTCACTCCTGGTCCGTTCTCGTTTATGTGAAGCGTGTGTGTACCCTCTGCCTGTTTGCCTAACTGTATGAGTTTGTTGTTTTGTTTTATTGAGTAAAGTATCGTTTTTGGGAAATCCTGATCTCCTCGTCCTTCCCTGCACTCACCAGACCGTAACAGAAGAACGGACCAAAACACGATGGCTGAAGACAAGCTCCTTACCATTCAGCAGAATGGCTGTTCTTTGGAGAGGTATGTTGAGGGGTTCCTGGATGTTTCCCATCAAGTGAACTGGGGTAACTCCACAATTAATGCCTGCATCCGGTTTGGACTGGATGATGATTTATTCCATCTCATCTCCGTTGATGATTGTTATAAGTCCGTCCCGGACTTTATTAATTATGTCCTTGAATTACATGGCTCAGATTTCCTCGTTGACTATGCAGAAGATAGTCAAAATCATCATTCAGTCCCTATCTGGAAGTATGTAGGCAATGTGGGCCCAGTCAACCTCAATCCAGAAACCTCTACATACCTATGCAAAAGCTTTGTGTCCCCCGCTACACCCAAGATGGCCGAGCAATCATCGCTGGTCCCATCCAGCTCCAAACCTGTGCCACTGGTCCCATATAGTCCCGAGCTTATGCATCGTGCCATAGCTAACATACCAGTGGAGATCTTGGTAGCGCTGGAAGAGGATGAGCTTATTGACTGGGACACAGAGCTTCCGCCACTGGTCCCAGCCAGCCCCGAGTCTTCACCACTGCTCCCAGTCAGCCCCAAGCCTTTACTGCTGGTCCCGTCCAGCCCTGCCGAGCCTTTGCCACTGGTCCCAGCCAGAGCTTCACGTCACACCCAGTCCAGAGCACATTCCTGAGCCTTAATGTTTTAATTAACGTGTTGTTCATCCATGAAGTCATGAATGAAAAACGTTGCACTCCTGTTGGTTCCTGATGATTCATGAGATATTAATGCATGAATTAATGCATAATTCATGATAATTCATGTACCCTTACTGTAAAGTGTTACCCAAATATCAAAGCTGAATTTTCAGCATCATTACTTCAGTCTTGAATGTCACATGATCCTTCAGAAATCATTCTCTCAAAAAACATTTCTGATTATTATCAATTTTGAAAACAGTTGTGCTGCTTCATATTTTTGTGGAAACAGTGATAGATTTTTGTCAGGATTCTTCGGCTAATAGAAAGTTCAGAAGAACAGGTTTTATTTGAAAAAATACATGTTGTGTAACATTTTAAAGGCCCTTAATGTCACCAGTGATCAATTGAATGCATCCTTTGTGAATAAAAGTATTTATTTCTTTAAAGAAAATCTTCCTGACCACACTTTTGAATGGTAGTGAACTGAACCTCATGAGTTCAGAACAGAGAGAATTTGTGATGGTCATGAGCAGAGGTGAAATTTCTGAATCCTCCCTTTCCACTCTGACAGCATGCTCTTAAAGTCAACGTGACCCTGTTTACTTCCTTCATACAAGTTCCCTTTCTAATTATGAGCTATTCATCACTGTGTGCTGCTATACAGTAAGAAACCACGTTTGTCTTCATAACCCTTCATTAGAATAATAATGATCTGCCTTATTCCCCACCACAGATAAAACCACAGTTCGCTTGGTTTTTGCATTCAAAAACATCAAAATGAATAAGTAATAGGCTATTTTGTACCCTGGTTGTGAGCCTTCCTGAAAAACGGTCGGTTTTTATGGGCGTGTCGCACTGAAGACTTGGAAATAAACGCCCACTGCTGCGAGTGGAGAACAGTTTTGCATATTATAATGAGTTTCACTCACCCGTCGGTGTACGTGGGGGAAAACGTCCAATGTTGTCAAATGGCAACCGGATTCGCCCATACATGTTCGACCCAGAGTCCGTGTGTTGCACAATTCCTGTCAGATCCAATATAGACGGCACAGCACCGTTCTTTACTCTTAATCGGTCTGCAAATCCAGTCTTGTTTACAAAACAATCCTCAGTGAAATGAAGCGAACAGACGACGATGTTTTACCCTCATCAGCTGGAACGTCATTAAAAATAAAGTTAATCCATGGAGTCCTATTGGAATCCAGAGGAAGCTTATGCAGCGACTGTCTTCTTCCACAACCAGGCACTGCACAATATTCTGTATTGCTCGGTAGAACGATCCGGTTTGTCATCACGAGGTAGGCATGTAAGTTAGGCTACTTAGCTATACGTGTAATCGGTGGGCGAGGCTAAATCGGCCGTGTTGAAGTAGGTGTTGATCTTCTTCTGCGGGGGTGGTGTTTTAACCCCTTCGACGTCATAGTTTCCCACTTTTCAAAACGAGACGTTTTCAGAGGCTGGTGTAAATAAAAGCTTTTATTGGACTAACAAGGACGTTTTCAGTTCTGAAACTTACAGGATATTCTTATAATATGATGACCTCTTAGATATCAAAAGCTCAAGGAAAATTTGATTTCTCAGTTCATCACCCCTTTAAATTCATTTTTTTACAGAACTGAATCTCTCTGAGCAAAGAGCCACTGAGAGAGACGCTTCAATGAAACGTAGTAAATGACTTCAGTTAGGAGCATGTCCCTTTCATCAATATTAGAAAGAGAGAGAGAGAAAAGAAATAGGACAGAGATGCTTTCTCTAGTTCACGATCATTCTGTGTTCATCTGCATCCATATACATCTATCTCTGATAGCTCCTTCTGTCCATCCTAAGCAATTAAACCACGTCTAAATAGAGCTGAGCCTAGTCTAGATTGATCTGAGATTGCTTTTGAGCAGTGGGGGAGAGTAGAGAACTGATCACTTCACTCAGTGATATGGTATGGTGGTGGTTGCCATGGAAACAGCCTGTGTGAAATTGGTGCCCATAAACAGAATGTGCTCGCATGTAAAATGCACGCATCTAAAATAGTACAGGGCGCTTTTACAACCACTCGAGTTTTAGATCCAGCCCAAAGCATGTTATCCAAGAACTGAAAAATAAAGAAAAAGCACATTATTGATGTATTTATTTATTTGTGGTCTTGAGATCTCTGAAGTCTCGGACCACAAGATCAGGACTGTGTGGTTGTAATGGTGTCTGCTTTTGTTTCATTTTAGGTTCCCGCAAGAGTTGAATATGGGTAGAATTAGTGCTGAAATCATGTGGAACCTCTTCGCCATGGATATGAAGTACGCAATGGATGGTGAGTAACTCAAGCTCCAGTTTTATACTATCTCTTGGTGGCATGGTTTTTGTTTTGTTGTGGTTTCAGCTGAGTCTGTTTGGATCTGAGATCCAACTCACTTCGTATGTCGATTCTTTTGAGCAAAACTCAAGATGGCTTTTTACATCATGGTTGGACTGCGTGTTTGAGAAACATATTAAGTGATGCTGGTGTTTCTGTTCTTTCTGGAGGCTCTTTCATGTTTTTAAAGTTGAAAACGGTTTTAGTTTTGTCATGCAGTCTACATGTATGTCTACAAATAATATCTATAAAGGTTTTTTTTTTTTTTTTTTTTTTTTTTACCAAAACATAATTTTATTACCAGAAATACTTTTTGTGACCATTGTTCGCCCACTCTCTCTGTTTTGGCTTCTGATTTTAAAGGAGTAGTTCACTTAAAAAAAACAAAAAAAACAAAACAAACTTTTGCTGATAATTTACTATATGTCATCCAAGATGTCCATTTCTTTCTTTCTTCAGTCGAAAAGAAATTAAGGTTTTTGATGAAAACATTCCAGGATTTTTTCACCATATAATGCGCTTTACTGGGCATCAAACAGTTCAAGGTCCAAAAGACAGATTCAGTGCAAACTGCTCAACGATGAATAAGGATCTTATCAAGCTAAACGATCAGTCATTTTAAAATAAATAACAAAGTTTAAGTTTTATTAGCTCAAACGCGTGTCCGTGACTCTCCTGTTCGAACTCGTTCATCAAAATGAACAAATCTTTTTCCGAGTCAATTCGTTTCATTTCATTCGTTGAATGAACCAAATGACTCGAAAAAAAGATTCGTTGATTTTGATGAACGAGTCCGAACATAGGTGCACATACGTGCATCACAGAACAGAGCAAGGTGAGCATTTGAGCTTATAAAACGTAATTTTTTTTCGCTAGATAAAACCCTTATCCATCGTCTGGAATCGCTTTAAGCCATTTGAACAGTTCGGGGGAACATAAATGTGATTGGATCATGGGAAGGTTTGAATTAGTGTTTTTTTGGATGTTGTTTGTGACTCTGACAGCAGTAGGACAGCGTGGCATCTGTGTTTCATAGATATATTTGGAGCAAACTCTCCAGGATTCAGATTCACCTGTGAAATTTGAACCACAGATGGTGTGCTGTCAAAGTCTGTGACACAAAAACAACACGCACAAAACTGTTCTTAAAAGTAAAAGATTTATGAATAACAAGGTTATCCTGTCCTGCACACACACACAGACACACACTTGACGGTGGAGCATTTAAAGGTCATTCGCTCTGAATCTCACACATTTTCTGAGCATCTCAGTTAGGATATTGTTTTTAAAATAAAGCTAACCGAACAACCTATACTCAAAACCATAATCAACCTGTATAGAATACATATTCTCAATGCTTTATAATGCACCTTTGGAATCATCCGGGGTTTTTTTTCATAAATTTTGTACACACATTCATTTATTAACCATTTCAGTCGTATCTGACACTTGGTGATTCTGTGGGCCATCTCTCTCCATACGCGAGAGACTGTCAATTCATTTTTATTATTCCCCAGCCCTCTCCTTTACATGGCTTGGGGCTCAGACACACACATATGGACGATTTAGCATCTCCAATTTAAATGTACTGTACCTGTACTGCATGTTTTTGTATTGTGGGGAAATCGGAAGGAACCCACACATACACAGGGAGAACATGCAAACTCCACACAGAGAGGCCTCCTGTTATGCACAATATATTTACAGCACCACAATGCCAGCTACGCACCAAAGCTTCTTCCCACTGTCAGGAAAATCTGTTGTATGTAAGACAACTTGTAAGTATGTAATATTATTTGTAGTTGTGCTTTCTATTAACATTTCTAATTATTAGTTTTATAACTTATTATTATTATTTATTTTTATTTTTTTTACTGGTCAATTTTGAGATTTTAGGGTTTTTGTCTTCGGGTCCCTTCAGAATTGTGGTAAAAAAATCCGAAATATACATTTAGGTCTTTATTTTACTACACTTCGCCTGTTTGCGTCTGTAGAAATCTCCACTTCAGTAGATCTAGTTATTTTATGAAGACATTTACAGAGGGATTTGTAAATATGTTATTTGTAGCCTGATATGTATAAAAAAACATGGCGAAAATAATTATATTCTGATTTAATTACAGGATAACAAAAGTAGATATCCATAAATCCCTTTGTAATTTTTTTCCCCATTTAATATGTGAACACAATGAAAAAACATTTTTTAACCTGGCTTTATCCAATACTCAGATTTCGTTTTTTAAAATATATGCAAATTGGCACGTATTAAATTATATATTGCCTAATTTGCATATTTAAACATAAAATTAAAGAAAACTCATGATACATTTTCTTTTTCTCATCTTAATGTAAGTAATCAACTGGGAAAGTTTCATGGTGATATCTGCTAGATTTTATCTAGATTTTATCATGGTGATATCTGCTAAATTTTACCCAATTCATCCGTAGTGTCTCGGCTTAACTAAAAAGTTGAACAACAAATTACTGTACATGTCATAAATATATGCATAACCTTACTCCGTGACGTTTGACAAGTGTGCATTCTTACACAGCAGCAGGGACATTATTCACTAACGTTACAGAGGCTATTGAATCCACCTAGCACTATAGCTAATATTACCAAATAGCTCAAATAGGCTAGTTCTAAATCTTCACTCTAGGTGTTTTGTGAAACCGTTCTTATAAGTAATTGTATTGCATTTTTTTATTACATTGTATACATTTTGTAAAAATATAGTGTAAGCCATGCATTACTTGAAAATATTTAGATCTAGTAAATCAGTATAACATCTGTAGACATGAAGTGGCAGCTTCAGCCGTTTGCAGCTATGAAAAGTTTGGCGGCTGCAGAAGCCATTTAGGTTTTGGCTGAGCCGGCTAGCCAGCCAATAACGTCATCAGCCAGCCATTATTCTCAAAACAAATGGCTTCGGGGTCTACTATGGCCTGTTTGCCCTGGCCCTGTCCAAGTTACATGTATAAAGCTCCAGTGTGGCATAGAACGCAACACTTAGAATCACCGGTATCTTAAACCTGTTAACTGTTGCCAGTGCGTCGGCGCACTGAAGCGTTTTTTTTTTTTCTTTTTTTTTTTCTTTTAATAGAATAGTTCAAAGTTACTATAAGCTTTAATGTTTTTACCTTGACAAACTATACATCATTAAAAAAAAGATATAAGGGTTACGTTTCAGTATTTGACCACTATTATATTCGGAGAAATTTATATTGACAGCTAGTTATGTCTTTATTTGCGTCAGACGTTCCCATTCATAAAAAAACTCCTGTGCTGTCGTCATGAAAGCGATTCACAAAACAACATCCCTCACGGCTTTTTGCTCAAAAGTGTGCACATTTGGCGAAATATTGATAAAATCTCATAAATTTACATTTTCAGACGTGTTTCAGAATAAACTTCAATGACAGAGAAAAGGCAAAACGCGCATCATGTTTATTTTTCTGTATTTGACAAAAAGCAGAACACTTGCTCTCGCGCGTTGGCTGGCACTGAAAAATACTTGTCATAATGAGCACGATGATATTATCTTGGATATCTCAGATGTTTTAAGCAACCTACGAAGAACAGGCCCCTGTTCAGTGAGTAATTGTTCACTGTTTCTGATGAACTTAAACGGAAGTCTGAGAACCAATCATTTGATTGTTCAATCATGATTACAACAATCACCTAAAGATCTGCTGGTGCTTTGTATCCACAAGTTTCCTACGCCCCATGAGGCCTTGCGTCAAAAGTGGGCGCGACTTCCGGTTGGAAGTAAACAAAGCGTGATTTGACATGCTTGACACTCATTCATTCAACAGTTGACAGTCATTCAAGTTATAGCGATCCAAACTAGCTAACGATGTGGGAACACAACCTCAACGAAATTCAAAAGGGTGAAATAACAGTACATTTACCCTCCGCAGTAGTTGATTGGGAGTATTATAATAACATTATTAATAATCAATACTCATCAAGGCATGGTGACAGACAGTTGTGCGAGCTGGCAAACATTTAAAATAAAAAATACACACTTAAGCCTAGTTCACACTACATGATTTTAAAACGTCGGGCTGAACTGTGCGGTTCACACTACAAAACTTGCTCTCAGTGAAATCAAGAGTGTTCAAGTTTTTAGCGGTTCACACCACACAACACAAAGTGATGATCCACAACAGGAGGTGACTCACTACACGAGTTGACAACGCACTACTCACAATAGAGATACAACCACGATCGGATGATAAGAGCAAATCATTTGTGACTTAATGAGAGCTGTTTCAGTACTATGCTACGGTCTAAATCCTGAAAATAATCAAATAAATAACGAGTTGACAACAACTCTGTCACTCAACGATTTTATCTTGTCTACAAACCACGTTTTGTCACGAAAAAACACGCAGTAAATAAATAAATATTGTGCCAATACCCAGCAAAGAAGAGAACACAACACGTGAATATGGACGTCAGACAGAAACTAGTGCTGCACACTGTTTGCGCGACGATCTTCTCTGAGGAAAAAAAAAAAAAAAAAAAAAAAAAAGAGAAGATTTACCTGGTGTCCTCAACCCATGCGTTGCTATGATTGGCTGTACTCATGACATCACTGAGTTTGAGTCACGCGACGGCTCTGGATATCTAGCAGGCTAGATATTTTTCTGGGCTCGGCGACGAGTCTGTGAGGCATCTGCGAGCGTTTTCGCTGCGTTGTTGGCTCTTTCATACTAACAGATTGGCAAGCGTTCATCGTCCGCTAATCCCCTGCGATTTGCACGCGATAACACCCTGACCTGTCGGCGACTCAACGATTTGCAAATCGGGCATAAATCGGGCTTAAAATCCTGTAGTGTGAACTTGGCATAAGTCATTGTGCTTTGGTCGGAGTTTTGGGAGGTGATGGAAACTACGGTCGTTGGCAGGATCAGAGACGGGCTCTGCAGGATCACTCGGATTTCGTTTTCAG